GACTGTGCTCATGCTTAAATGGATTGTCATTGAGGGATTAATCCTGTAACCTTTTATGAGCATGTTTTATTAATATCTTATCATTAAATTTAATATTAATAATATTTAACATTTAATAACCATAGAATGTATATGTAGAAATGTATTTTGTGCCAGTCGGTTCTGAAAATGTGGAAAGGTCACTATACTAGGATAAAAATTATTAAACACGCTCCCCGTAATATATTAATTGCACTCATTCAACTCATTTAAGAGGTAGTTCTGGGGTCTCCTGGGGGGCTCAGTCGTTAAATGTCTGCCTTCTGCTCAGGTCATGACCTCAGGGTCCTGGGGTCGAGTCCCATGTCAGGCTCTCTGCTCAGCAAGGAGTCTGCTTCACACTCCCCTCTGTGTCCCCACCCCCACTCTCACTCTCTCTCTCAAATAAATAAACAAAATCTTTTTTTAAAAAACAGAGGCTGTTCTGGATAACACAGATTATAATATGTTTGTTTGTCAGCATCCTTAGCAACGTGCCTTCTAAGAACGGAAGTATTTGGTACAGCTTTTGAAAATATCTATTGCACTCTTACATTCTGGAAATATATTTGCCAAGGAACGATTTATTTTTAAACAGAAAACTGATAAAGTAGAAGGAGAAAATTTAAAACTACAAATACTCTACTAATGTAGTCATTCTTATTGGTACAACAGTATAAGTTGTCTATAAAGGAGTACTTTTTAAAAGATTAAATAATTAAAATATATTTTAAACTATTTTTGTCCTTAAAAGACCTTAATTATTAAATCATTTTCCTTTATCATATATACATGTGTATATGTTTGCCTATTTAAATGGCTTATTATGAATTCAAAAGTCTGGTAGGCATCCTCATACTAAAAACCCACTCCTTTTTAAAAATGCAATTGAGAATAATGTAAAAAAAAAAGGTGGGGGGAGACGCCTGGGTGGCTCAGTGGTTTAGCGCTTGCCTCAGTCCAGGGCGTGATCCTGGAGTCCCAGGATTGAGTCCCGCATCGGGCTCCCTGCATGGAGCCTGCTCTTCCCTCTGCCTGTGTCTCTGCCCCCACCTCTCTCTCTCTCTGTGTCTCTCATGAATAAATAAATAAAATCTTAAAAAAAATAAAAATAAATAAAAATTCAATTGAGAAAGATTATGTAAACATGAAAAAAGTAACCTTTGGATAGTCTGTTATGTAGAAGAATACATGTGACTATCTGAGGCCATATGATCTCTGTTTGGAAAAACTCCGTGGTTGTTTCAAGGTTCCTCTGTATTATTTCATTTCTTTTATTATGCAACCCCTCCCACCTTAATGATGTATAACTAACAGAACTAATATTTAGGGAAATTGTCATTAGATATTTCCCTAATTCTCGCAATTTTATTTTAATAAAATCAAAAGTTTTACACGTAGAAACACGTGTACGTGTGGATACTGTACCTCGGTATGCGTACAATGGTTCCCACGGGTACATTAGTTCGGCTGCATGGCTTCCTCTGACAATCTCTTTAACTGTATGAATACTGTGGGAATGGCAGGAGGGAAATCTCTATTTTAAAAAGCATGTTTTAATTAAGGAACTAGATCCAAAGTTTTCTCTGAGTACAACTTCTGTCCAGAGAACCGCGCATATCCCACTTGCCACTCCATTTGGAAGATGTTTTTCTCCCTCTCATATTCAGGGGAATGTATGTTTCTTAATAAACATTTATACCTGAATTCAAGAATGTTTGGAATCTAGAGAGAACCTTTCTTGCTCTGTTCTATTTAACTCATACCATGCCCAGTTTACTCATAGATACAAACATCAAGGATATTGGATTATTAGAGATAGTCCTCATTTTAAATGATCTGTTTTGAAAAAGTCATTGAAATAGCCTCTGAGTCTAACGATCTGTTCTACTGCCACCCACTGCGTACTTAGAGTCAACTTAAATTTTTCCCCTAAAGACAAATGTAAGACAGTTTTATTCTTAGCTAGAATAGTTAGTTTTATTCTTTAGCTAGAGCTTAAAATGCAAAATAAACTGGATTGATGTGATTTCCACCAGTATTACTGAGGATCTGCTGAGTGCCCATCACTGAGCCAAGCCTGATAAAAATTTAAGTAAATGAAATCACCGTGCCGTGCCTGCAGATCTCTTCTAATCCCAACACTAAAAGAGACGTGATAAAGAAGTAGCGTATTTCTCAACCCCCTGGTGTATAAAGCAATGATATCCTGACATATCCTTGAAAATATAGAGCTCAGGGTCCCCCAGCAGAGAAGGAAAGACCCTGAAAAGATGGGGAAGTCACTACCCTCAGAGAAGTAAGGAAAAGGGAGGACCTGCAGGGTTCTGGCACGAGTGATGGTGGATTAGATATGGTGCCGAGCACACAGTGGGAGGTCAGGAGAAACTGAGGCAGAAGGGTTTTGATGAGATAGGAAGTAAGAGTTCACAACCCTGTATAAGTGGAGGTTAGCGTCAGGAGAAGTATAAATCAGTTCAGTCTGTATCGTGGCCCTCAGTTCCTCTTCTCCAAATGAGCCATCGCTGTGTAACTCACGTCTTTGTCACCCTTCTCCTGGACCATGTGGTTCTCCAGGCTTCCTGTTGCAAAGTGATCGTTCCAGATAAAATTTCGTACCCTTTCTCTTTGGCTTAAAACCTCTCACTGTTTCTTATGCCTACAAGAGGAGGTGTGATTTCCCTAACTTGGTATGGAAGCTCTCCTAGGATGGACAGGCCTTGCTCTCTGAGCTCTTCTCCAAGGCTGCCCGCTCTGGCCTTGCACCGTGGTCATTCACAATCACGGGCACGGGTCCCCTGGGCAGCCCAGGCTATTCTAGAAATGTGTGCCTCTGTGTATACCATCCCTCCTCTGTAGGGTGCTCTCTCTGCTTTCCACCCGGTTCCTTCCCTAAATCTTTGTAGCCAGTGATTCAAGAAGACATTCAAATATTCTCTATTAGGAACTTTTCTCTGACCATTTCTTTCATTTTTTTTTTCTTTTTAATTTAAATCCAATCTGCCAACATATAGTCTAACACCCAGTGCTCATCCCATCATGTACCCTCCTTAGGGCCTGTCACCCAGGTACCCCATCCCCCCACCCACCTCCCCTTCGCAACCCTTTGTGTGTTTCCCAGAATTAGGGATCTCTCATGGTTTGTCTCCCTCACTAATTTTTCCCCACTCAGTTTCCCTCTTTTTCCTTATAGTCCCTTTCACTATTTCTGACCTTTTCAATGGTAACCCTTCTTCTGTTGCCTTTCACTTTTAACTTGACAATTAGACAACTGTATTTTAATGATAACCTCTCTTATTAGACTGTAGAATTTCAGCCAATTTGGGTTGGGTATAAGTCAAATGATACAATAATCCATAGTTTTCTGCCCAAGTGAATCTCCTTCTATATATCACTGATAAAAAAATCTATCGATAGCTAGAAAAAAATCTGTCACTTTAGATTTGCCCAAAGCCAGATTCTTCTTTCTAAAATATTTGGATAAATTTCAGGGCACCATTTAATATTCACTTCACACTTATGAGAAGATAGCATTCTAAATATCAAATATATACAAAAGAAGAGAGTTACATGTGTAACGCATTCTATTACCCAATTTCCGCAAGTATTAACTAATGGTCAGTCTCATTCTATCTACACTGTCCATGGCTCTACTCCCTTCTTTTTCTCCTGAATGTTTTGAAGCAAAATCTTACACGTGCTAAAACCTTTCATTTGTGAATATTACTACATGTATTTCTAAGAAATAAGGACACTTTTTGAAAACATGCTGATGATACCGTCGTCACACCTAAAACATTAACAATTCCTTAATACTAACGAATCTCCAATTAGTATTCAATTATGCACTTTCTCACTTTATGAACAGTTTGTTTGAGTAAAGGCCTGGTAAAGTCCAGACTTTATGACCGGTAGATATGTTGCTTTTGGTCTAAAGCAGTAGCTGTCCATCAGAATTAATTTTGCCCCCTGTAAGGGACAGTCTTGGCAGTCCGGAGACATTTTTGGTTTTCACAAGTGCTATGGACTGAATGAATGTCAGTATCCTCCCAAAACACATGAGTTAAAACCCTAACCCCAGTGTGTCAGTATTTAGGTGGGGCCTTCGGGAGGTGAGGTCATGCAGGTGGGGCCCTCCTAATGGGACAAGCCCTTATGGAAAGAGGAGAAGACACAGGATCTCTTCTCTCTCTGCATGCACCATGGAAAGTCTTATGAGAATGGAAACAGAAAGAGGACTCCAACCAAGAGCCTAACCGCGCTGGCACCTTGGTCTCAGACATCCAGCCTCTGAACTGTGAGAAATAAACCTTTGTTGCTTAAGCCACTCAGCAGGTGGTGTTCTTATAGCAGCCTGAACTGACTGACACGACTAAAGGAGAGGGCTCCTGGTATCTAGTGGGTAAAAAGCAGGGATACTGCTAACTTCCTGCAATGCATAGGACAGCTGCACAATGAAGAAGCATCCAGCCCCAAATGTCAAGAGCCTGAGGTCGACAAACCCTAGTCTGGAGGTTTTTCCTTCACTTTTTTTTTTTTTTTATTGCAATTTATTTGTTGAATGAGATGGATCATTTGTGCTACAGAGTTCTCCTCCCCGCCCCCACCCCTCCGTTTGCATTTGCTAATGACACATCATTACATCCTTTAAGGTATTTGTCTGTCGTGTTTATTGGCAATTAGATTTAGAAGATTCATCAGATACAGATTCAACATTTTTAGCAAAACTATTATTCTAGCTCATAAAGAGTGTTGTATACTTCCATGAGGGGGCACACAATGTCGATCTCGCGTCACTATGGGAAACTTGATGATCAATGCGTATATCCATTAATTCACGAGAGGCTGAAAAATGATACTGTGTTTTTGTAGTTTCTTGATTTACTTCAAATACCACTGTTGCTTGGAGATATTTATTACGACGGTTGATACGAAAATAGCGTTGTGTTTAAGACATTTACACATTCCTTATTTCTTTCCAGAAATATCCTGTACCACCCTGATGAGAAGACAAGCCAGTTTGCAATACTCCTGGGGGCGCGGGAGCACTGCAAGTTACTCGCATCAAATGAGACCCTTCAAGAAGCCCTGTCAGAGGTGTTGAACAGCATTAATTCAGCTCAGGTTTACTTCAAAGCAGGACTTGATGTGTTCGAGAGTGTCTTGGTTGGAAAGAACTGAGAAAACTCTCAGCATTTTAAAAAGTTTGTTTACAATTCCTCAAGCAAAAGCTCTAATCTAACCGGATTTTCTGACATTGAAGACTTTCCCCCCCAATGACTTTTTATACAAGTCTAAAGCTATTATTACATCGTATTTTCAAATGTACATATAAAAGAGCATTTTGCACATTTAATATTTTCTTATATCTACATCTCTGGAATATGTAAAAGTGAGTTATTGAAATAATACTCAAGATTTATCTATTAAAAAGAAATCTGCTGTATTTTTATATATATAAAATATTTTGGGGGGAAAAGTTCCAAGAAGTGCTGGACAATCTTCACTCCTAGGGATAGAACATATAGGAATGGAAGTTATTCCTTATGTTACAGCTACTAATGACCTAGTTTCTGTAACAGAAATGGAGAGTTGATATGGTTTCAGATTAACTTCACTAGTAAGTATTCAATATGAAGAATTCAAGTATTCCGACCGAGTGATCGGTCGACCAAAACCACTTTGAATGTTTCTATTTTATGAAATGAAGTGCCTGTTCGTAATACAACTAGATGTAGTAATACACTGGTTATGAAATTGTATTTTTTAAGTATTAATGAAAAAAAAAAAAAGAGCCATAAACATTCCAGGGGAAAATCTCAAAGTAGCTGCACAGAGCAATTTAAATGCAAATTTTTTCCTAACAACTTATAAGGTGACTAGCTTTGAAACCCCTAATTTGCCTCAGTTGATTTTGTAAAAATTTCAGGAGTGATATATGTCTTACGAGGGAGAAAATATTTCTGATTTCTTCTTCTGTTGGTTCTGTTGGAAGCACTGAAACCCAGCTACTCTAAAATGAGAGCATTTTGCATCGCTCTTCCTTCTTATGTCTTTTCCGAAACTCCTTTCTGTAGGGCGGTTTTAACAGAATACCATGTAATTTCCACAGGAAAGTAGCAAAGTTTCTCTTTGAAAACCCAAACTATCTTAGAAAGCATCAAATCGCTATTTCTGCCTCTGACAAAAGGACTTACAACGAAAGAAAGAGTTGTTTGATCAATGAAAAACTTCTTAATTCTGTGAAGAAACTTTTGATATATTTTTTTTTTCCTTCTTTAGCCTTCATTGTGACTGGGATGAAAGGGCAGCAAATATTCATGCTTCTAATTTTATGCGGAAAATGCAGTGTTCCTGTAAGAGTGTGTCTTTCCCACAATTCAGCTATTCTCTCATGTGGAAAATGAAGTCCTTCATATTGACGTTGTCATGAAACGGCCCCAGAATCCACTACATTTCCCCCCAAAGCCTAAAATTCTAGTAGGTGACAGTTTAAACTTTGAGCTTATCCTTAGAAAATGTTCTTCTGGCATTGAATAAACCAACTCCCCTTAGGAAACGCATCCTCGGTATATTTTATGTCATTGTCTCTACCTAACACAACCCTCAAACACACTTCTCTTTTTAGACACACCTCCCGAGCAGCGTGTCAGGGCCTCCCGTGTTTATGGATGAGCTTGAACCCACTCAGCTGTTCCTACCACAAGTAAATGTTGATATGCTCAAGGCAAAGAGGACAAATGGTGCCATTAGCTGGGTAATAGAAGCAGAAATCCACTTTCATGTGAAACGCCTGTGTGCGCGTGTTTGAGCGACACGTGAGACTACCTTACAACATTTTTTTAGAACCGATGTACTTGTTTGAGAGTATTTCCCGTGTTGAAGGATGCCTACAGGGAGCGCCCCAGCGGAGCAGCCTCGCGGTGCCTTACCAGCAGTGCTCTCTTTTGCTGGACAAAAATCAATAGCAGAACAGAGGTGGGAAGACATATACAAACGTGTTTGGGGCCAAATAAGGGAATGCTTCTGCCAAAGAATCTTCCATATTTAATCAAGCTTCGGTGTGTTCCTTCCAGTTCTTTGTTTAGAGCCGAAGTTAAAGCAAACAACATTTTGGAGTTGAAGCTCAATTTAAAACAAGCAAAACCAAATAATTATCAGTTTGGTAGTTCATCATCTTCAAACGAAATCCTAAGTAAGCCCATTCCCTTACTTAGTCTGTAAGACTGTCGAGAGCACAAAATATATGTTTGTTCATTTTTGCTTAAACATGGCCTAAACCTCATGGCATAGATAAAAATCTCAAATTATTGATGCTCCCTTCTAGATTATATTGGTATTTGCTATGTGGAAAAAAAAAAAAAACAACTAAAGGTAACTATATACTAATATGTTTTTATTAGTCTATTTAAGAAATTATGTAAAGAAAACAAATTGTAATTAAAACAGATGTCCACTAATTCTATAGATGCTGTTTCAGATCTTTGACTGCGGTAAACCTCTTGCCTAGAACATCGCTGCTATGGTGTTCCTCCAGATTTACAACATTTCAATTTTCCCCCCTAACAAATCCAAGCAAATAAAATCCTATGCAAGTTAAGAACAAGTGTTTTTGGTGAATTGATGGTAGGTTGAGATTATTGTCGAGATCTCTGGGTGCCTGGTACTTCTCACACTCCTTCGTACATGGAACTGCGCCAGGGCGTAATGAATCACAAATGGTTATTCTCCCAAGAAAATGTGGCAGATGTTCACCACTTAAATTTGGGCTCAGGAAGGGTATACGTGAGCCGTTGCCCTCTGTGGAAAAGCAGAGGTTGTATGGTCAAAAGAAAGCCTAAGAGCCATTCTGGACTAAGCCTTAAGAAAGTTCCATTCTTTGAGGTCAAGCGTCAACACTCCCCCAGATGCAGTAAATGAAGCCAAAATGGTCAGCGACATGGTTATGGTCACATGCTGAGTTAGTGGCAAAGACACTAAACTAAAAGCCCTGGAATTTAAGCTTTTCTGCTTCCTCGTGCAACATGCCCACGTCTCTCCCTGAGGTGCCAGGGTTACCTGTGATCCTTTCCAGGGCATTTGATTAGCCATTCGACCGGATGCCAGAGGGGGTGGAAGCATGGATTTTAATCAAGGACTAGCTCATTCTCGGACTACCCAGGACAAACGAAACTGTCTATCCCGGGGAATCCAGGAAAAGGACACCAAGACTCGGCATTGGGAGAAGTGGGGAGAGTCTCTACTTGACACCGCAAGTCAGGAAGGAGGGCGTTGAGCAAAATGCTTTCATGAGAGGACGTCTTAGCTCTACATTAAACCAGCAGTCAGTGTTTCCCAGAATGTGGATCTGGAGGAGCGAGGCCTAGGAATGTTCGTTTTTAGCAAGATCGCCCAGATAATACCTAAATGCGATGAAGTTTAAGATTTTCCAATCTATGCTAATCCTGGGTCCTGAGAAAACATTACATGGTAATAGATCTAAATAAAGAGTCACAGGGATGCCTCGGTGGCTCGGTTGGTTAAGTGTCTGCCTTCAGCTCAGGTCCTGATCCCGGGGTCCTGGGATCGAGTCCCACATCACGCAGGGAGCCTGCCTCTCCCTCTCCCTCTGCCTGCTGCTCCCACTGCTTTGGTCTCTGTCTCTCTCTCTCTCTCTCTTTCTCTGTCAAATAAATAAAATATTTAAAAATAAAAAAAAGGCCACAATAACAGAAAGGACCTAACACTTTGCTATTAAATGGCACCATTAAAAAAAAAGAGAGAGAGAGAAACCATCGCGTCAAAAAAGGACACGGGGACAGCTCACAGCTGCCTACACGGTACATGCCGGGCAGTACTACATAGTGTTTCACATGTTTGTTCCTTCTGTTGAACCCCCACAACAACCCATTTTAAAGATGAAGAATTTGGTTGGGCGACTTGTCCAAAATCCCAAAGCTAATGAAAATGGCTGGGGTGTCTCTCTGCTGGGCCGGGTGTTCTGCAGTCCTGTGGTCCTCACACGGAGTGCTGCAGAAAACATGCGGAGAACCTTTTGATTATAGAAAGTCACGTCACCGAAGATTTTCATGTATTTCTGCACAACTGATCAGACTGTGTGGCCTGCCACTTGACTGGTGTAATTAACGAAGTTGAAGAAACAAATGACATCATTCATTACGACGTTTGCCCGCCCGAGCAATGGTGAGCATGTGTAGATAAATTAGAAAGTAACTATAAAAGCATCAAAATTAAATGTACTAGTCTAAAATGTCATGGTAACCAGATGAAGCAACATGAAAAGAGACGGTGGGGGGACGCCTGGGAGGCTCAGTTGGTTGGGTGTCTGCCTTCGGCTCAGGTCATGACCTCAAGGTCCCGGGATCAAGCCCCACGTTGGGCTCCCCGTTCAGCGGGGAGTCTGCTTCTCCCTCTGCCTCCTGCTCCCCACGCTTGTGCTCTCTTTCTTTCTCTCTCTCAATTAAATTAATAAAATCGTAAAAACAAAAGGGATGAGAAGCCACATATTTCACAATCTCCCCCTCCAAATGCCTGTATAATTTCACCGAATAAAAGAGCAGGTGCAGGGATTTACAATAATTAAAGATTCAGAAAAACTAATTGACTATTTTGTTTTTAAGATTTTATTTATTTATTCATGAGAGACAACACAGAGAGAGAGAGAGAGGCAGACACAGGCAGAGGGAGAAGCAGGCTCCCTGCGGGTAGCCAGGTGTGGGACTCGATCCCGGGACCCCGGTGTCACGACCTGAGCTGAAGGCAGGCGCTCAACCGCTGAGCCACCCAGCACCCCCTATATGACTTTTTAAAATAAAGATATATGTGGCAAACAGTGGGTTTCCCCGTTGAAAAAATAGGTGCACAGAAAATAGTGATCTGTTACCATCTGCTTAATAGCGAATCAGCACCTTCACCTCAAATGAAAAGCTACAATTATTTGCACGATAATTGACAGACCTAGCCAAAACGTTCCCAAGAGACGTCCTGTGGGCTGTGCAATCACTCCCAAAATTAAGCTTTCTCTGAGGGTGGCACATTGTCACCTCATTGGTTTAATAGGCTATTAAATGTGCCTTAGCCACCCATTCTCCCAGTAGACAATAATTATTTTAAACTGCCAATCCACGTGTTGAACGGCAGGGAAATGGACCCACGTATTCCAATAAACGTATCAGCCACATAACTGCTTCATCACAAGATCATGGACGCACCCGAGGGAAGGCTAAGCGAGCTGTGAGCGTGAAACAAAAACAAACTGGCTGCTGGTGAATCTGCATTTCCTACGTACGGGCAAACTGCTGGCTTAACGGCGCCTCAGAATCTGCTATCCCGAAAGAGTTCTAAGCACCCCCTCAAGTGCAAATACTTTTCAGTTAAGTGGGTTTGTTTTATGCAATTCAAAATTACTGGTGACAAGAATCTGAAAGGACGGTTGCCAAAGAAATCAGTAAACTGTCACCCTTTCCAGTCATCACCATCTCCACTCCATTTTCTTTTTTTTTTTTTTAAGATTGTATTTATTTATTCATGAGAGACAGAGAGAGAGAGAGAGAGAGAGAGAGAGAGAGGCAGAGGGAGAAGCAGGCTCCATGCAGGGGAGCCTGACGCAGGACTCGATCTCGGGTCTCCAGGATCACGCCCTGGGCTGAAGGCAGGCGTTAAACTGCTGAGCCATCCAGGGATCCCCTCTGCTCCATTTTCTGCTTCCTCTTTCTTTTAGCCTTTTTCTTTTTTCCCCAAAGAAAGCAGTTTTAGAATCTTTACATCTCTATATTTATCTGTTAATCATAGGTCCTTTCCATTATCCTTTGAAGCTAGACTCTGAAGTGCCGTGAGCATCCCCGGGCCCGCCAAGCATCTCGAGACCCCGCTTATTAGGAGATGACATAGTTCTTTCTTTCTTTATTTTTTGAGATGACATAGTTCTTAAAGACGTTTATAATCGCATATTCAGATCGTATCTAAATGTACAAAGCAGAGGATTACATTGAGGCAACTCTCAGCATTCTAGAAAAAGGAGCCGCTTCTAATATTACTATGCTTCTGGTTGGGTCATCTTGTGTTTCGATGATTTTCTGCAACCAAAATGGTGATTTTTCACGTTTTCGGCCCAACTCCAACCATCGAAGCCAAGGGAAGGCGTGGCTGCTCTAATTTCTTAAGCTGGGTTCTGTCAAGAACTCATTCAGCAGCCGTCGGTTGGGTGCCTACCGCTAGACAGGGGTTTCGTGAGTATAGACGGAGCCCAAGAGTGTTCCCTCGACTTCTTTTGATGTCATAAGCCAGGAAGCACTGAGGTAGCTTTTCCCAGAAGGAAACAGACTTTATTTCCCAGGGGCTAATTACCACGCGCCACCTCAGTCCCCAGGGAACCGCACAGGTGCCCGTGCTATGCCACATGTCACGTGCTGTACCCAGCAAGCTCAAGAGATTAATATACGATCATTATTATGAATTATTATGTTGCATGGAAGTTAATGTCGGTCTTTTGTTCTAATTAAAGTACCAAGCTGGCATCTGAATAGAAGCTTAGCTAGAGAAGTGGAGTCAGAGTCCCTGTTTTAATGAACTACATATATTTTTCAATCACAATGTGTAATTATTTAATTATCTGGTCTGCTCAGTAAGTCTATCATTCTCCCTCCAAAGAATCTTTACCCAGTACGTTCCTGTGCGGATGAACGCTACCCCGGGCGTGCGTTTTGCCTTTTGAAATCCTCAGCCCTTGTCGAATCATACTTTCGTTATAGATCCAGCACTGTTTTGCTCGTATTAATAATTACCATTTCTTTATCTTTATATCAAGCTGCTGCATATGGACTCCCTTACCCTGAAAGTCAGAAAAGCGTGTGATGACAAAGACAGTTTTATCCTATCTGCCTAACAAGAAACAAGCACACAAACAAGCAAACAAACAATTTTACTAGACCATTGCACACTGTCTGCAGGAAGCAAAATGCCCAGATGGTTAAGCGTAGCCCATGTAATTATATTCCAAAGATGTTATAAATAATTCCATTTAGAAGCTGAGCTAGGACTCTATTAGGTGAGTTAGTGTTTACATTTCACACAGAAAGGTTCAGTGGCAAATAGATCCCACACATTTTAACTTGCTACTTGGAGAATATGAATAGATTGTATTCAGAAAAGGAAAAAAAAAAAAAGATTTGTAGGACACTTTGAAGGGCTAGTTTGGTTTTATAGACGTCTGGAAAAACCAGCACATCATTTTGATAATAGTTCCATATATGTGTTTAAAATGTTAATATATACCATGCATTTTTAATCATGTCTTCAGTGTGGCAACATTTTGATATCGTAAAACATTGTACTAAATAAAATTTCTCAATTGTATAACAGTAAAATATATATATATACATACGGCCTTTAAGAATGGTGATGAGCAGGGGAAGATCTATAAGTTAACTTGGGATAAATTTGGAGGACGAGCTCTCCAAGTAAATTTGCTTTGATTTAAAAACGTCTCTCTCAGGAGGTATCCCAATTACTAAATTGCACTAAACTAGTACAGTATTGAATATTGTTCGAAATAATCCGATTACCATCTGTGATTCAGAAATCTTTTCTTCATAGGGAAATTTCATGGTCGTTGTCTTTGCTGCGATTGATTTTTAATGACATTGATTTAAAGACACGTGTCTGTGGGTTTTTTCTAATTACTACGTAGGGGTGAATATCTCATTTCTATAATGTATAGGTGCCCACCGTGAATTTAGTGCTCCCTATACTTAGCCTATTGCACGATCTCAATTTATGTTACGACTTTTTAATGTATTAGTCCCATGACTCAATACGCCGCTTACTTAAGAAAGTACATTGTGATCCGGAGGGACAAAAAATGGGTTGGCGTACTATATCCATTAAGAATATGAGTGAATATTTTACACTGCAGTTGCTTGAATATTTGCACATGATTGAAAACACAGTCCTATGGAATAAAGGCACCTTTGAAGAAATACGGTCTGGTTCAAAAATACGAGGATGTGCCGTGAAACGGTAATGTTGGAAACACCCATTTAAAAATATTAAATACAGGTGAAAACCATTGCTCTCCTGTGCTCTGTTGCGACAAGACATGGAGCCTTTCAAATATGCAAGCTGAGTGCCAGCGTGTTACCCACGGACGCCTCTAGGCGACGCGTGTCACCCGAAGAGCAAGGAGCCCGGCTCCACGACAGCCGCTAAGGTTTGCCAGCCTCCCTCTGCTGCCCCTCCTTTTCTCAAACTGCTGGTTCTCGCATGGGCCCGGCGGGTGTGCGGGTGGTGCCAGGGGAATCATCAAGCCACAGTGGTTCCATCAACTCCCACACTCAAGACTTTGGTTTCCTCAAAGGAGCTCCAAAAGGGCCGCCAGTTATTTCTGACACAGTGTTCTGGGTCCTCGGGATGCAGGTTCTCTCCTTCAGGCGTCCAATGTGTATGAAAAGCCGGCTGGAGGCTGGGGGAGGCCGAGGCCATGGGGAGGCCAGGGGGAGGACTGGGAGGAGGCCAGGGGGAGGCTGGGAGGAGTCCCAGGGGGAGGCCAGCAGGGGGGAGGCCCAGTGGAGGCTGGTGGAGGGGAGGCCAGGTGGAGCCCTGGGGGAGGCCAGGTGGAGCCCTGGGGGAGGCCAGGGGAAGGTCAGGGGGAGGCTGGGGGGAGGCTGGGTGGAGGCCCAGGGGAGAGGCCGGGGGAGCCTGGGTAGAGGCCAGGTGGAGTCCAAGGGGGAGGCTGATGGGAGGCGGGGGACGGGGGAGGGGAGCCTGGGGGTGAGGCCGGGGGGAGGCCCAGTGGAGGCCCAGATAGAGGCCTGGTGGAGTCCTGGTGGAAGCTGGGGGGAAGCTTGGGTGGAGGCCTGGTGGAAACCTTGGGGAGGCTCGGTAGAGGCCGGGTGCTAGAGCCCCAGCTGGGCACCGAGGGTGGGTTTCCCTCCAAGACCTTCCCGGGCTCTAATGCCATAGTTTGACAACCACATGGATCCAGAGGTTCCCACGCGTGGTCACTGCGGGGAAGCTGAGGCAGCAGTCAGCTGCAGGGCGGCCTCCATGCACGCTCCAGACCCGGCCCAGTGCGCCTCTGTGACGGCTAACAGGCAGGATGAGATTTTCTCCAAAAGCCTCCCTTTACGGGGGCTTCCACGCACCGCAGATACAAAAACCCAGAAAAAAATAATGTGCAGAATAATCTGTTATTGTACCCAGGAGGTGAGATTGCGGTGACGGGGTTGTGTGTTAGTCATGGGCACGTGTGTGTGCTCAGAGCAGGAAACTACAGACCGAGACACCGCTCCGTCCTGGAACGTGCGGTGGTAGGTGGGCGCAGGTGCTGCAGACGGCCGGGGCCCATGCCTCGTGCCTCACCCAAGCCCCCATCTAAGCGCTGTGACAAAACAGCGGGGCCAGGCCTAGGTCGTTGTGGGCACTTTACAGCCTCCCCATCCCCTTGGGTGGCCGATGTCGGTGTTTGTTACGGGGCACCTGCCAGCGTCCTGGATTGAAAATAAAATCCTCAAAGTAACGTAAAGTCCCAATAAGATAGTGTGATCTTGGGGACCCCTGGGGGGCTCAGCTGTTGAGTGTCTACCTTCAGTCCCGGGTTTGACCCTGGAGACCCGGGATCGAGTCCCACGTCGGGCTCCCGGCGTGGAGCCTGCTTCTCCCTCTGCCTGCGTCTCTGCCTCTCTCTCTCTCCCTTCTCTGTGTATTCTCATGAATAAATAAATAAAATTAAAAAAGAAAAAAAAAACCCTCTGACCCTGGAACCCACACTTCTAACCACTGTGCCAACCAGCTTCTAAATGACCCTGGTAGCAGCACAGTCCCCCCTCTCTCCTGCCAAGCTATTCATGAGGTAAGAGGCCTGTCGCCGGCCTCCTGACACCCTAGAGGCTCCCCACGCCTTCCTCCCCCACGGGCCGGGCTCAGGTGTCCAAGGTCTGCAGGTGCCGCAGCAGCTGGGCTGGAGGAGCAGGAGGGGGGCGTCTGCCATCCCCCGGGGGCCACAGGCCGCTGAGCTGTCCGCCGGGGCCGAAGAGCCCGCTCGTTGCTGTGACATCCAGGAGGCCGCACACCCTCTGCCCCCTCTGTGCCTTCTAGACCTGCACCCCCTGCCAGGCCTGTCCCGGGCACACGCAGCGCAAGTGCAGCCCCGGCTCCAGAGACTGCAAACCGTGTGCTGGGGGCCCCAGCACTATGGGGGGTGGCGGGGAGGGGGTTGCACAGGGTCCACAGCGACCCCGGCCTCTGGGCCCCATGAACGAAGAAGTGAATGACCTGTTCCATCCGCGGGCTTGAGGGGCCCTTGAGCTCTTCTTCCCGAGTCTCCGGGTGTCCCTTTCCCACGCAATGGACCGGCGCTTGCAGCGACTCTGCGGTCACGTCCCTGTGCGCCCCGCGAGCAGCGGCGAGGCCAGGCCCAGCAGGGCGGGAGCCAGGGCTGCAGACACCCGGGGGCAGCGCCGAGCCCGGTCGGGGAGGCCCCACGGCACAGGCGAGAGGCGGCAACCGGGGTCGCGGCCGTGGG